TTTATTTATTTTGAGATTTCGTTTAAAAATTATTGTGAGCATATCGATTAGGTTTATATTATATACAGATGACAGTTCACGCTGTCTGGAAAGAGAGGCCACCGCCTCCCACCCGGGCATGGCAGAAATCTACGGGTGTCCATTCGAAATTCTGCCAAAAACACTCACGTGTTCCCTCCACCACCGTTAAAAACCTACAGTACCAACCCTACCCCCAAAATGGCCTATGTTGCCGCGGGTTAACAAAAAAAAAAAAAACTATATCATGTTTTAATCAATAAAAAAACAATTTAATAGGTAAAATATTATAATGACAAAGTGAAAACTTAATACTAATTGCCTACCGCAAATATTGTGTTTTATTTGAATTGGTTTTCAAACATATACCAACGAACTCAAAACAGAAATATAAAAGTTAAAAATCATACAAAATAATATATCCAATAACTAAAAAAAAAGTTCTTTATATTTAATGTCAAAAGTATTATGTAAATGTTATATGAGTGTAATAATTGGTTGTCCTTGCATTATTAAATATGTAATTAATTGTTCAAACGTCAAATTTAATACTCATGGTTTTTATAGACTGCCATGAAAAACTGCTACTATAGGTACATTGTCTGCTCTAGTTAATACGCTACATCTGCATTAATTTTTAATGTCATCAATGGCAAGCCATTTGACATTTACTACACAATGTGTGTTGTGTCAAAGTTATTTTTAATATATTTACCGTTTTTACTAAAAAATAATCGATATTAACTAAAAAAAAAGTGAACAAGTGGGTATCGGCGTATCGCACTGCTGTATAGTAGAGATGGAGAGTAGATCGCTATAATGGATGTGCTAAATATGAATGCAATGAAAGGTATCATTGTATACGAATACAATTCTGAACAGAGATGATTTGTTAGTCTAGGATTTATAATATTTAGCTGCTATATGTATATAAATTATAATTTTTTTTTTTTTTTTTTAAACAAGTAATTAATTTTTAGTATGATTTTGGACGAACTTTTTTTACAGTTATTTGAAGAAAAATATGTTTTTCAATCTTAGGTAAAAATCACAACAATTTTATGAATTTTAAATTTTAAATTCCATGCAAATTTTCGCGATTTTGACATATTTCGTAAACATAAGAACTTTAAATGCTTATAGACAAAAATTGTGATTAACGATTTTTGAATATTTTTTACTACGATAAGCAAAACTTATAATGAAATTTGTATTAGATTTTAAAAATTTTATTGATAGCTAGATTTTTTATAGGCGTTTCAAAAAAAAAAACTTAGAAAAATCGAAAATTTCAATTGTCTATAAATAACTTACATAAAGTCAAAATATTTTGAAAATTTAATCGTAAATAAATAACGATAATATTGGTGAGAATTCCAAGTATTTACCATGATTCGTTTTTGATTTACAGTAAAGTAAAAAAAAAACGGATAAGTCGTGGATGTCGTATGCTGTACAGTAGGTTACAAGTCGGTTACTGTAATGGATGGAATAAAATTTGAATCAAATGATATTATATCATTGTAAACGAAAAACGATTCTGAGTGAAAACATGCCTATGTATTCTTATAATTTTTTAATCACTATAAGAATAACTAATGAGGAACTTTGTATTAAATTTTCAAGTATTTTTATTGGCCCAAAAAAATTTTATCGACACTTCAAAAAAAAATTTCAGAAAAATTGAAAATTTCAGTTGTCTATAAATATCTCAAAAAAAGWCAAAATATTTTGAAAATTAAATCATATAAAGAAAATGCCAATCTAAATAACTGGTAAAATTTTCAAGTAACTACGACTTATATACTTTTTGAATAATAACAAATGTTTATATTCGTTTGAGGAGAAATCGCTATCGTTATGCTATTTCGTAAAAATTAAAAATTCAAACGCACTTAAAATTTTTCCTATAATGATGCTTCAAGTTTTCTCTATAGCTACTTGAAGGAAAACTWAKTGTTGTATTTTTAATCTTAAGTTATAAACACAAACAWTTTTATGATTTTTCAACTTCAAAATTACTTGCAAATTTTCGCGTTTTCGACAGATTTCGTAAAAATTGAACTATAAACGCTTATAAAAAAAAATTGTGACTAACGTTTTTTAATATTTTTTTTAGCTACAATAAGAACAACTTATAAGGAACCTTGTATTAAATTTTCTAGTTTTTTTGGTCATTCAACATTTTTTTACCGACACTTCAAAAAAAAATTCTCAAAAAAATCGAAAATTTCAGTGGTCTATAATAAATAACTAAAAAAAGTCAAACATTTTTGAAAATTAAACTGTATATAGATATCACTAACATAAACATTTGGTGAAAATTTCAAGTATTTATAGTGATTAGTTTTTGAATTATAACCATATAAAAAATCGATTTGGTCGATAACTGGTTTTGCGTAAAAATTACCGTTTTTCTGTCATTTTTTTTTTGTTTTTCTCGATTTTTTTGAAAACTGTTGGAAAATTTTTGCTTTTGACCTCTATAATGCTAATGCACCAAGTATATTCACTTTTACATCGGAATCCACCGCCAAAGTTTGAAATCGAAGCATTATTTCGACTAGTTCTGCTGTACACAGACACAAAAACAAACAAACAAAAAAAAAAACACATCATTGTAAAATCAATACATTCATCATTTCGTTCAGAATCTAAAACATTATAATATAATTTTATATTACAATGAGTCAATGAATAATTTATATATTGTAAATATTGAGTATACGGTGCACGATAATTTTGTGTTGTCAAAGGTCCAACTTTGTTCAAGCCACAAGCGATACCGCATTGATAATGTGTGTTTTTTTTTAAAAATATAAAAAGTATGATTAGTTCAATACAATTATATATTCAATTATATAATATTATATAGTATAATTATTATATAATATACTATATATTATAATACTACTGTGTATAATATAATACATTCTCCCCCCCCCCTGTCAGCAAGGTCTGCGCACGCCTATGTTAACCGTTTCAAACCATTCATTATTCAGAATTTTCGCGTTATTGTGCTAATTTTGTAGCCACCACATATTTCTTTATAATTCAGGTAACAGTATGGAATCATGTTGTATGATTAAATAGGAAAAAAACTGTTCAGAGAAAAAACAATTGTTAGCCAAACTTTAGTGGGCAATATTAATCACTACACATAACTTTTAAAGTATAATAATATAGTAATAATTTAATGTGATCTTATCAATGTTCAACGCAGTAACAATTCATTTCTAATGATAGAAAAAGAAATTCGTGTGATTATAAAAGTTAAATAACAATATTATACACATTTATTTCTATAATAATGATAGCTATAAATGGTAATGTGAAATGATAAAATAAACATAAAAGATAAATATGCAAAAAATATGAAAAAAAACAACAATAGGTGATTTAACAGACGATTACACAGGAAATATAATAGTAMGACCATAAAAAATAATAAAGTGCATCAGAACTTTAAGTGACACTTACTAATCATATTTAATGGATCAGAGAAAATCAAGATCATGGGAAATTTGTTGTATGAAATGGGAGGTTAAAATATGAGGGATATGCTGTGATTCTGAAGACTATTCTCAAATTATAAATTATTGTATTGAAAATTCAATAACAYAAGTTCACGGATCTACACACAGATAATTGTGTTCAGAATGCAGTGTAATTAAAATGATCTACTGAGGTATTGCAGTTTCTTTAAATATTCATATAATATGTATATTATATCAATATAAATGTAAATTATACACCTAACATAATATCATATAAGTATTTAGTATTTTTATTTATAAATTAAATACTCTTGACTGTGATATTTTTCTTATAGCTATTCTTAATGTCTATTTGACAAAATAAATATTACTTTAAAAAAAAGTCTCCAAATTAATCAAAAATAGATAATCAAACTTTTAAAGTCAATAACATTGTCTACCATTGACCATTATTACATGATAAGTTTATAACATATTAGAATCTGCCATGTCCATTGAAGGGGTTTATCTACACATAATAATCTTGTTTTCATCAGAAAATAACCATTGTGAAACCTTATTATGATCTACGTCATAGCTCAAACAAGTACAAAACTCTATTATATATTTATATCTCACACTTTTATTCTTCATAATATACCATTTTTTCAATTATTTTAAAGCTACTTATGGCTGTATTGCCACATTTTCAGACGATTCTGAACCTATGTTGTATCTATAACTATCTCATATCTAGACATTATCCACTCCTACATCAATATTGAGGTCATAGAACAATGTTTTACAACAATATTCCTGGTTCTCTGACATAGGTTTGTCTTGATAATAATTGGAGTTTCCTAGGAAATATTTTTTAAAAAATGGTTATTGGTAATATAATATGATAATTTATGATGTACATATTTATAGCAGTAACAATGTTTGACCAACAGTTCCTTTGGAATTCGTTTCTTTCACTCATTTTTTCATTTATTATTCTATTACCAAATTTAAATTTGCGCAAAACAATAACATATCCATCTATGTTAATTTAAAATTTGAATGAATAAGCAGTGATTTAAAATAATAGCCAATTACTTATTTTGTTATAAAATTTTAGATGACTTATTTTAATAATGCTAATAGTGCTAAAATACATTGTATAATAACATAATGTAGTATAAATGTACAATTATAAATGTTATAAACACACTGCTACATTTTATGCATTGATGATTGACAGGAAAAATGAATAAAAATGTTTTAATCATCAGTTTAATAGTATTACAAAATAATTTAGCTTAACACAAGATTACAAAATTAATTTAACAACATAACATTGCATTTTATCAAAGCCCAGAGGCTATGCAATAATAACAATCATTTGAAACTTAAAAAATATTTTTTAAATTATAAATACAAATTAAATTAAATTAAACACATATTAGTCCTCATTATTCCGAAAAATAGAAAAATAATACTATATTTTTATGCCAATATAATATTGACAATATTCAATTAAAACTTTATATTATTAAAGCAATAACATTGTTAACCAGTAACTTAAAAAAATGCAATTAACATTCATTCAATCACTGCTACTGCTGCTACTACTGCTACTACTACTACTCGATGACTTTGATCCCTTTTTGTGTTTGTACCCTTTATGCTTATGTGCTTTGTGTAAAGCATAAGCACCAACACCAACTCCAGCAACTCCAGCTACAGGAATACCATATTTCATAGCTTTTTTAGCTTGTTTTCTTTGAGCTTTGGCTGCTTTACGCTAAACAATAAGGAAAACTGATTTAAATAGCTAATTAACACAATAAAAATTAGTAATAATTTACATACCTACATTTCTATTTTTAATTTATTATTTTTATCTATAGCTCTATTTTATACACTAATATATCAAATGATCTATCTTAGAATGACGAATGACACCGAATATTGTGAGATCTATAATGTAGTTTCTAGGCTTAATAATTATTTATATGAGAAATTTAAGAGAATATTACCAAAGGTTTTTTTTATAATTTATTTATTAATTATTCAATTATTATGATTTTATTGATGTTTTAATTTTGCAATCTATTAATATTTATAGTTAGAGTATGTATTAAAATTAAGAAATCAAATGCTACCGCCATAGACAATGTTTCCATAATTAATTTTAAATTTTAAAAATAAGTCAAAAATACAAATATTGAAAGTGAAATAGATTGAATTATATTTACTTTAATATTGACCTAGAAGACTAGAACATATTATTGGTTTAAGAAAGAATAAACTTGATATACAGAGTACAAAGTAACTCTTAATACAAACCTGAGAAGTGACATGCATTATGTTGATAAATAACATTTTAAATTTGTATTATTTAATTAGAACACCAACTTACAGGGTTAATATGTCCAGTCACAGCATAATTAGTTAGTCCTTGATTGATGGCATGTTTAATTGGTGAACTGGTGTGTTTCTATATTTTAAAAACAAATACATTCCATATTTATTTAAATATTGTAAATAAATAATCATACACTACTGGAGTTATAAGCAATATTTGTTGTTTTATTCAATCATCTAATGTATTAGATTCTAATAAAAGGTTATATTTATTTTAATTGTAGTTTACTTTACCATTATAATTTAAAACTAATTTATCAACTATTAGTTAAAACCAAAGTTACAAAAACAATAGAACAAAAATTGTTGGTAGGTACTTTGGTACTTAGTTAGTTATTCAATAGTGTTAACCTACTAACTAAGAAAATGTTTAAGTTAATAACAAACCTCTAAATAAGGTGAATTATGAGTTTGACCAGGATAGGCACTATACCCTGAAGCATAAGGCGGAACAGTTCCAGGTGGAGCTCCAGGCACATGCATATGACCGGCTGATGGCATATGTCCAGGTACATAGTTTCCAGGCATAGGCATCTGTCCGGGCATAGGCATGTAGCCAGGTGGGTTACCAGGCATCGGCATTGTAGGACCACCAAACTGTGTACTTCCACTGGAATTTATTTGTATACTATGAAATTGCGCTTCTCCATCAATAGCTAAATAAAACACACTTTGAAATGGTATTCTGTGTTTCATTTCTGTATAATGAGATCCGTTAAATGCAATCTAGTATATGAAATAGTATATTTTAGAACAATGTAACTCTACACACTCAAACATTATAATCCAACTATTCATTTAAACTTACTTTATATTCATAAACATCGCACAGTATGTCCAATTTAAATGGCTGGCCTCGAATGAGGGCCACAGGTGGACCATGAGATTCCTCAACGCCCCAATTTTGTGCTTGAATAGTATTCCTGACAATCAAGTTACGGTTGAAGTCTAAAGCAACAAACAGGGCAACAGAGTCTCGAGGAGCAACATTCGGACCGATTTGTAGATTTATACAGACTCTACACAAATGCAATAGCAAAAGTAAAAAAATAGTTCAAATATTTATTTGGTTTTAAATGTTTTAATCATATCATAATTTAATTGTAATATTGAATATTGTTAATCACCTGTTTGAAGACGGGAACGACGTGCCATGGAAGCTGAGTAGCGTGCCTTGTTTCAAACCATTTTGTATCGGTCCAACAAATGGAAGAGTCTGTAAAACATGATATCAAAAGTGTTGGTCAGTTACTGTTAATAACCATTTACACTGCAATTGAATTAGTCGAATACAATAAACATCTTTAATATTATACCACGGTACAACCTATCTATATGAGGTACAATATTGTTTGCAGTTATTAGAAGCAATATCAATAAAAATAACAAGCATACAATAAGAAACTTAATAATATGGTGTAGGACACTTACCGGATTGAGGATTGGAGGTTGAGCCATAACGCGATTGACGGAAATGAACGAAACGACGTGAACAGAGAACGCAATCAAGTATCTACGAATATTAGAATATTGAGAATGATTTACTTTTGGTAGCGAGAGGATTGCAACAGTGAATGTTCAGAAATGAATCATTCGACTTATATACCACATACACACAAATGGCGAATGATCGAGCCTAGAGATCAACTTTGGTAACTAAAAAACTAGTCACCATATTATAGAATACTCATTATGTTTATAAATTACGTACTACAGTGACTCATCATTCACGGCCGAATGTTATGAATAATTGTGATGATAAAAGATTATTATGTATTATCAAAGATGAATAACACGAAGATAAACGACGTGCTTGCCGCTTGGTAAATTACGAATGCGGAATGGATAAGGCAAGGCAGTAAGGCAGTATAGCAGGAAAAAATTCTCACTGTCCATGACGTCATTATGCCGTTTATAATCTAACCAGCTGCATGTTCTGTTCTATTCTTAATATAGAAATTACATAAATGTAAACAGTTGAACTATCAACATTCAACAGTAAGTTATTGGTAAATAGAAGTAAATTAGCTGCTGCGTGCGCAGCACTTCTTATCATACCATTATCCCTGTTATTTTCAAATAATATGATAATATGATAACGCACGCATTAATTTAAAAAATATTACAAAATATCAATTTTTAATGTTAATATTTTAGATTCTGAGCGGAGCGATGAATGTATTGATTTTACCATGATGGCATGATGTGTGTTTTTTTTTTGTGTCTGTCATCACGTTTTGGGGCAGTAAAAGTGCTTCGATTTTTGACTTCAGTA